TTAAACTAATTTTTTTAGTACTGCTTTACTATAATGTTGAATGCTTGTGTTAATAAGAAACAGCTTCCTGTCTGTCAGATTTTCTGTCTTATGCATAGCTGTGGTCACCTTTTTTTGGAGTGTGCTTGATGCTTGTAGTGCATGAGCTATATTGGTTTTTAAAGTATGGTATTTAGAGGACATTTCACGCGGATGCATAAATAGATTTGGCAGTCTAGTTGTTGCATTACCGTTTAACTAGTGTAGCTCTTGCAAACTCTCACTCTTTCTTTGATTTTTAATTTTGATTTTTTTGAGCACCCATTGCATATCATTAAGTGTGATATATTGCTTCTTTAATAAAAAGTTGTTTATTTTGCAGAAATTTGTTTAGATGGTGAGCAATGGAATGACGGGCTGTTAGCTACAATAAGAGAGCGGGTATTTTTCTATTGAGGGCTTTTGATGTGACTGGATTTTCCTGTTTGTTGTTTTTCTCCTTTGAGCATAGATTAGATGATTGAAATGGTTGATGACCGATAACCTACATATTCCTTAAATTGGTTAAATTACATCTTATTAAATCAAAAATTTTCTCCTCCCCATCTTCCTCGTATGCTGCTTCTTGGTTAAAAGTACTCTTATCTGTTCCATATTTACATTTTCTTGCTTCATTAAAATTATTGTGGTTGCTCTGGGATTTATATCAGGTTCACATGGAGGTTGAAAGAAAAGCAATGCAGGGGGATGCAAACATTCTGCCAGGTCTTCATTTTCATGAAAAAATTACATATAAAGTTGGAACTAAGGTATCTATTACACTAGTAGATTTGGCTAAAAGATTTCCTTATTCATCAACATTTGTATCACATCTTCCAGAGGATCTATTTATATTTGTTCAGCAAAATACTGAGGTTGATAAATATGAGGAGTAAACAATTGCTACTTGCAGCTTGAATAAAACTTTACATGTGACATTGACCCCTTTGTGCATCATGAGGATTATTTGAGGTGAGGGTAATAGGAGATCTTTCCGTGGAAGCGAGAAGTGTATGTATAGCCTGAGGAGTGCCATAACCTGGATCAAATTTTGGATTTTGTTGATACAACCCATGCAAATTAGAGATATCATGCAAATCACAAGGTAAACAAAGCAAGTAAGCAAGCACAAGAATCTAGTTAGTCTTTGTCTTTTAAAAAAATAAAAAACTAAAATTATAGGATGCAAAATACAAGAAACTAGATTGTCATGGATCTTATCTTCCCATTGGCATCTGAGCATTGAACATTTTTTTTTGGGGTATGTGGAAGATAGATCATATTAATAGAAATCACTTAGTATACCTACTATGGTCTAGTTCTATTTCATATTAGTAGAAATCACTTAGCATATACTTATTGCACATTGGTCTGTTGATGTCCTTCTGGACATTGTAGTTATTTAAGTTGATGTCAATTGGGTCCTTCTGGACATTTTGGTTATTTAAGTTGATGTCAATACCTCCAAATGGACAATAGAGTGTTGGATTATTGAATGCATATACTTATTGCACATTGTTTTGTTGTCATGGGGAACATTAGATCACAACATATGTTAAATGTTAACTGTTGACTTGTAGACTCTGACTGAAGAAAACCTAACTTGATTTTTGTTTAATTCGTCAGAAAACATAGTTCAAGGTCAACAATAAAGTGTTAGATGGGACTCTTTCCTTTTGTTTTTCTTCCCATTCTTCCCTTTCTTGTCCCATGGTCTGTCTCATATCATTCCTCTCCCTTCTCTCATATGACACCTACACAGCTTCTCTTGTCGTGAAGGATTAATTTATTTACAGTGATTTTTTTTCTCAGTACTAATTTAAGTAGTCTATTGTTAATTGTTAGTAATTGCTTTTGTTCCTAACATAAAGTTTGGCTATAGTGATTGATCAATACACATAATTGGTTTAATGATTTCATTAATAACATCTTAATTATTCTCAGCTTAGCTGTCTTAAAAAATGGCAATGTCTCTCCTCAGTCTCGTACTCAACTATATAGCATTTTTCCCTAAATTTTCTACCCCATTTTCATTTTCATTGTTTTTCTTTTCTTGGAGTTTTCACAGTTCAGAACATAAAAGGTGATTCATTGCCTTTAGAACTTGTGTTTAGAACTTTCTGTTTTTAGGTTGTTAGAGGGAGATGAGTTTAAAATTTTACTTCCCTGCGAGGGAGAGAAAGATGAGAGGGTGAAATGTGCTTGTCCACTAGGTGTTAGGGTTGGGTTTGGCCATGCATGGTGGTGTCCTGGTGGACTGTGTCTTGCAAAGTCACCCAACCTAGGTGTTTGGGGAAGTGGATACTGGGTTTTGTTTTAGAGGTGGTTGATAGCCATGGTGGCCCATGAGGCTATTGGTTGGTGGTGGCATGTGAAATATAGGAGGAAATGAGAAGGGGAATGGCGAGTGGGTCTGCTGCTGTAGAAAGGAGGAGGAGGGAGAGGGAATGAAGAAGAAAATAATAGAAAAAGGCAAATTGAAAAAGGGGCAAAAGTATCATTATATATATTTCTTAACACACGCTCAATTTAGTGTGTTAACGCATGATTAACTTAACCAGAATTTGCAACGTTTGCACTTTACTCCAAATTTCAAGAGGGTTATATGTATATTTTTAAACATGAAGGCGGTAAAGTGTTTTTGGACAAAACCATATAAAATATAATTAACCCAAAACGTTTGGAGATCTAATTGTGTTTTTATTTCAATATCTATTCGTGTGTATTTGTTTTTGTTTTTATGTTTGCTTGCATGTGTGTTTTGACCTTTTACCTCGTTGAAGTTAAAAATAAAATAGGAACATATTTAGATTTAAATGAAAATGGTAACTCCTATAAAAACTATTGATTGATTAGGTTGTGAACACGTCATGTGATTCTCTTTGGTTCTTGTTGGCATTAGTGCTAGTGATACATGGTATTCTTGCAATCTTGATCAACTGTTGAATTTTTTTCCTAAACTGATGCTTAGTTGTAGTTGCAAATTAAGATTGAGTGTTGATTTTTTTTGGTGGACTCCACGTTAGTTTATTTTGGGATTTACTTTGATGGTTTTTTTGTGATACTTAATGGATTATTATTAAGGTTGTTTGATGGATATATTTTGATTTATAAAATAAATTATTTAGTGAATTTTTTTGTGGAGTGCTGTATAATAGCTACTGGATTTCTTAGTACAATTAAAAAGCTATTGGGATATAAGCAGGGATATTTGTGAAATAATAATTTAAATTGAATATAAAATATGGAACAAGTTTAGTGATGAATTTGTTTCGTCATTTGTACTTGTTATTATGACAAAGTGATTATTCGTCACTAATAAAAAAATTTTGTGACAAAATTTACGACATTTTATAGATGAAAGTTTTTATTTATTTTGTTGTTTGGTGACTAAAAATTTCGTCACGTATATATATATTTGTGACGAAATATATATTTCGTCACCAATGTATGACTTTTGAAGATGAAAAATTTCGTCACCTTTACATCTTATTGTGACGAAATTATTTCCTCATCAATGATCAACATGCGTGACAAATTTATTCGTCAACTAAAGTCATAAATATGGTATTGAATAACTATTCGGTGACGAAAATGAGAATTTTTGGCGACAAAATGTTGTTTTATTGGTGACAAAAAATTTCGTCACTGAAGTAATTTCATTGGTGACGAAATTATTTTTCGTCACGGTGGTTTTTAGTGACAAACATTCAATGACGAAACCAGCGACAAAAATATTTCCTCACAAATATCTATAGTGACGAAATTAGCTCTTTGGAGACAAAAAAATTTCGTCATTCAAGACCCAACTTGTTGTAGTGTCATGGCATCATCGGCTTTTCCATCTTCTACTTAGCAATTATAGCATTTTATTGCTTTGCAAAATGAACTCAAATCAATGTTATTTTTCTTATAAAAAACTAAATAATATGAAAAAGGAAAAAGAAGAAAAAAAGAAAAAAAAAAAGATGATATAGTCTGTGATCATGTTTCAGAATAAAAATATTCAATGATAGGTCGAACTATCAGTGGTATCCTTACTACATGTAAACCATCTTCCCAATACAAATTTCCAAATGTATATCTTCCTTGAACTCTCAGTTGGGAGCAAAATGTTACCTTGAACTTGAGCATTTTTGTTGTAAAATTGAAAAACAAAATCGAGGGCTCAACTGTCACATTTATGCCCGGGGGAGCTTCAACGCGAGCAACATAGAAAGATAATATCGGACCAACGTTTGTGACTGTTATTGACATTGTCACAGTATGCTTCAGCTCTGGAATAGAGATAGATAGCAGATTAAGGTTTAAAAGGAAGTTCGGTGTTCTTTGGCATGGGCTGCTATCCCTGGTTATTGAGCTGATGGCAGTGTCATTATAGCCCATGGAGCAATGAAATTTGACATAGTCTGTGACTTTCATGTCGTATATGAGACCAGGATTTATGGCTTTGTTAGGATCAACATGACTACACATGACCACCTCCGTAGTCGAATTTATGCACATACAAATTTGATTGCACAAAAACTATGTTATGTACTCCCGGAAATGCAAATTCAGAAACACCAGAAGTTTGTTTTTAAACTACCTTAAAAATCCAGAGCCAATAAAAAAAAAATGAAAAGGTATAGTCACTGACTCTCTTCTTCTTCTTCTTCTTCTTCTTTTTTTTTTTTTTTTTTTTTCTTTTGTTTTTCTCTTTTTAAGATTTTAGACTGCTTAAACCCTAAAAATAGCAAACGCCGCACTTTATAAAAAATAGAGCTGCGAAGACCGCTCGAGTGATAGCAACCACTTCATCGCTTGAGCGAACTCACTAAAACGCGGACCCATCGCTTGAGCCAAGGCTCCATCGCTTGAGCGCAAAACGAATTCTCTCAGAAATTCAGTTTGCTCTGCAAAAATATTAGATGATGTCATTCATGGCTCGAGCGCACAAATGACTGAAAAAATTAAATCCAAAAGAGTTCAAATAAAAAATTAAAAAAATCTACCTTCTAAATGACCCAAAGAGAGGTTGCAACTCTTTAAAACTGGCAAAGGTTTGTGATTGTCTAGAGGAATCGGAGGCCCCTGTTTGAACCTATAGCTGCAAAAAATCTCGACTGCAGGGCGAAGATGAATGCATATAAGCAAAAGATCTTACAATAAATATATCATTTCAATACCCATATCACATTATTCAACAAATCCACAATTACTTTTCATCTCAGAAATCCCAATTCACATTTAACTAAAACTAAGCAGATACAAAATCTTCAAAAATCAATTCCCTATTAAAAAAAAATGGAAGAACATATCACAACAAAGGTAGCAAAACCCTAATCGTGTGAATCAGTAATCGATGTCAAACCAATGTAAGAAACTATAAAGTGAATCAAATGGATAATCAAAACAACAAAATTAAATAAATAAATAAATTCAAGAATGCCACTTTCACTGACAAAATCATAGATTGCAGATGAATTCAAATCCAAATTCCGATTAGATAAAACCATTACAAACAAAAGATTGAGTCTTGAAGAACAAACTGCAAATATATAAATTAGGTAAAATTAGTAAAGGGTTCAAACAAAAATTAAAATGGAAAGATCATACACAATAAACTAAATCAAAATTGAAATGAAAACAATTTATGATTAAGGAACATTAGGCAAACTGGATATATATGTTACTACTTGATAGCCTCACATATTAGATGAAATAGGATATTAAGACTCGACCTAAGTTCTTCATGGGTGAAGAAGTGATCCTTACGTAGGAAAATTACCTTCCTCAGAAATTGATTGACTGTGTAAGTCTAAATTGACTTCTAAATGCTTGAGGGAATATGCCCTTAGCATTATAAGTTTCTTTTAATTAATGTAATCACAATATAAATCAAATATAACATATAATTAATTCAAATAAATCAAGACAGTTGTGATTACAAATTCAATAAATCTAGATTCAATGACATCACCCACTTTTGATGTTGAGCAAACTTTAGATCCAATTTCATAGCTCTCATCTAATTCTCATGTTAGGAGAGTGACAATAGAAAGCTAGCAGTAAAAAAATACATAAATTAGAAAAAGGACTTAAAATTCTAATGGGTAACAACTCCCCCTGAACAAACACCTCTACAATCAGCCAAAAATCTGCCCGTGTGAATCAACCATTGCACACGAAAGATGCAGGAAAAAATGAAGTCATGATGGATACAGGTTCTGTTTACATAGGGGATAATTAAGGTTTAAAAATCCAGCAGTCACCTCTATTGAAAAGGAAAAAATTAAATCCAAAAGAGTTCAAATAAAAAATTAAAAGAATTTACCTTCTAAATGACCGAAGAAATGTAGGCTTGATTTGTAATTTTTCAAGAATGCTGTAGGTCTTCCAAGAGAAAAGGCCCCTGGTTTTCCCTTTTGGATGAATTGGCCAGGAAGCTAAATACATGCAAACTTGAATTTTCTGCACACCATACCAAATAGCACAACAATTTAAAAAATAGTAACCGAAATTTGGCAATTGAATGTTATAACCTTGCATGACAATTGAATGTTATAAACAAAATTAACATATATACACATACAAATTTGATTGCTGTCGACTCACAAATGCAAAATCATAAACACCAGAAGTTTGTTTTTAAACTCCTTAAAAATCTAGAGCCAAAAAAAAAAAAAAAAAAAAAAAAAAAAAAACTACCTTAAAAATCCAGAGCCAAAAAAAAAAAAAATCTACCTTAAAAATTATTTTGTTTTTTTTCTTTGCTTTCCCAGCAACCAAATGTTGGGGCTAGTATTGTCAAAAATGCTTACTCACCCATTTCTTGGTGAGTTTTTCAGATACAAATGGAACTCAAATCTAATTTTAATTTAAGATATTGTTGGTAGCTTAATAACACTATTGTTTATATTCATCTATAGTCATAGACTCCTCTCAAGTCGTTTTGATGCTGAAGTGCGATTAAGATGATTAACAAACATCATAATGTTTTACTTTATCGGTCCCTCTTAAAAGATAATTTTTTTTTTAATTCTAAAATTTAAAAAGTTAAAATAAACTTTAAAACGTTCACTATTTTTTTCCTCTAATAAAAAACGTTAACTATTTTTAAATATTTATTTTTAAAAAATATATATATATTTTTTTCAACTTGTCTTGTCGTCCAGAAACTTGGGCACTCTTATGTTTTGGTCTTACACATTTTCCATGCAGAGGTTAACTGGGCTAGTGATCCAAATTTCACATTTGAACTTGAGGATCTATAACCAACTTATGACCTTCAAGAACTACATATATGCCAGTTACAGGTTAAGACAGAACATAGATGCAGGGGTCCAGGTTTTTCTGAGTTTGGGGTATTGTCAAGTGAGACATGTTTTGTAGGACTCTAATTACACTGAGAATCAATTATCATCTCAGTGCTTGCAGGATTTTACCATATGAATCCTAATATCGTTGTTTGTTAGAAAATGGTTTCTCTATTTTATTTTCACTATATGTTGATATGGGTTTGTTTATATTGTTTTTTATTCCAGACTTTGAATAAGTTTTTATGCGTAATATTAGGAGACTCAGCACGTGTTTTCTATAAAATATTCACTTTCCTTGAATTGAATAGGATTATTAATTGGCAGTTTATCAATTATGAAACAGTTGAACAGAATACTTAAATGGTTGGGTTTCACAAAGAATGAAGCTGATTCTCAAGTAAAATGGGAATACTCTCTTAATATTAGTTCGTCATCAGGAAGCTCGATGCAGAATAGCAGAAGCCATGGCTTTGGGAAAGTCCGTTGGCTCTTGCATTGATATAATGGAGAACACATTAATTGACAAAGAAATATAGATATATTATTACCTTTTGTTTTTGCCAAAACTATGTGTTAGTTGGACAGATCAAAGAAAAATCTTTCAAAGCCTTCTAGTCATAGTTTAAAACTTGCTCCATATTGAGAAGTCAAGAAACCTAGCAGATTACTAATGCAATTCAATTACCCATAAAGCCACAATAAATTTTTAAAAAGAAAAACCAAAAAGAGAAAAACCATTGTACATCACATAATTTAATTTTAAAATTATTTGAAAATAAATAAACAAATAAAGAACGCATCTAATTTCGTACCTATCCCAATTTGAAACAAATGAGTTAATATGTTATCATTATTTTGGTGGGTTTGGCGTTTTTCATTATAAATTATTTCTTTTATTTATTTCTCAAATAGCAGTCTTTTTTTAATTAAACACATGAACTATCCCAATTTGAAACAAATGAGTACCGGACATTGCCATGATTAAACCATACCTGTTTATCGCGCCACAGATGAGAGAGAAAGGTAAAGAGAGAGATCAAAGAGAGAGTAAAGTCGGGTTTCACAAAGAATGAAGCTGATTTTCAAGTAAAATGGGCTGCTATAAATACTCTCTTAATATTAGTTTGTCATCAGAAAGCTCGATCCAGAGTAGCAAAAGCCATGGCTTTGGGAAAGTCCGTTGGCTCTTGCATTGATATAATAGAGAACACATTAATTGACAAAGAAATATAAATATAGTATTACCTTCTGTTTCTGCCAAAACTATGTGTTAATTAGACAGATCAAAGAAAAATCTTTCAGAGCATAATGCAGATCATAAGTCATAAACTAACCCCATTTGTTTCGTATGTCGTCCAGCTTATATTGTCATTTTGTTTTTCTTTTTCTACATCTAGATCATTTCCCCTTAGGTGCCCAAGTCTCATTCACTTTTAAGTACATGTTTTTGTTTTTCCCTTGTAACGTCTAATGTGGTGTTTGGGTGTCAAATTATCTGGATTTAGTTTTCATGTTGAAGCACACATATGTTCTGATAAATGGTGTATGAAATTGCTTTTCATGTTGACCCAAATTTCAGTTACTTTTCCTCAAATTTGGGTCTTCTCAAATTTCAGCTTCAATTCTTATTTTTTTGCCTAAAATTTCAACACACTGAAAATTCATCAACAAAAGAACCAAAAACAAAACAATTAATGATAATAGGCAAAACTCATGAAGCCGTAACCTGATAAATACCTGATATTGCCAAATCTTCTCATACTCAGCTCCAACAAAGATTGTAGAAAGAAAAATAAATCAATTGAATTGAATTGGGTCTTCTAAAATTCCAGCTTCAATTCTTCTATTTTTGCCTAAAATTGCAACACACACTGAAAATTCATCAACAAAAGAACCAAAAACAAAACAATTAATGATAATAGACAAAACCCATGAAGCCGTAGCTGGAAAACCAATCGCTACCTCTTCGTCTCCAAGGGCTTCAACGGCGATCTCACCATCTCCGGATCCAAGAAAACAATCTACGCCAGCCGATCTCTACGTGAATGATTCGCTCCATCAGATTCGAGTTTATTCTCCATCAGATTCGAGTTTGTTCTCCGATTTCCTTCGCCACGTTGTGCCGGGACGATTGGAGACACTATCTCCTCAGAAGAAGGTGGTTATTCGATCGGTTCTCCGAATCTAATGGATTTCGGTTTGATTTCCTTCACCACGTTGTGCCGGGACGATTGGAGACACTATCTCCTTAGAAGAAGGTGGTTATTCGATCGGCGAACAGCGTCGTAATTGTCAACGACGTTGCGATTCACAGTTCAGAGGTTGTGCTCGCTGTTTCACACACCATAGATGAACTCAAACATTCTTCAGCCAAGGGTCCGATTTCGAAGGGGAGAGAGAGATAAAAAGGGAATAGGGAGACATGAGAGCAGAGAGGGAGAGAGAGACAGAGAGGGAAGGTGGGGAGACGTGGGTTGGTGGAAAGCTCAGGAGAAATGTTTGGGCGGGACTATAATTGATCTAAACCGTTAATATAAATGTAAGATTCATCTTAGCCGTTGAAACGAAATGTATCTCTGATACATTTTACACATTTTCAAAAACCTTTCTATCTTATTATATAGATATATGGGAATTCAAAACCAAGAAAGTATGTCTTTCCAATTTTGTTAATAAAATATTAACAAAATAAAGTTTGCCCAATCTGTATTGCTTTGCTACATGTCATGATGATTTGGTTTAGGAGTCATCAAAAATAAATTTTCAATTCAGATTTTTTTTTAGTGATTTTGTTAATATTTTAATTTTTTTTAAACTTTTTATATCAAATAAACGGGATACATTTAAAAGTATAAAATTTGTAAAAAAAATAAAATAAAAAATTATTAAGTACTAAAAATTAAAAAATTCAGTATATTTTCATATTTTTTTGTATCTATCATTTTTTTTTAATTTTCTAAGCACATTTAAATGATATGTATTTAAAAAATAAAAAACGATTATAATGTAATAAAAAAATTACTAAAACTAAAAACTACGAATTAACAATTCAAAAATTATTTTAAAAAATTCAAAATCAAAAGGTGATTTGTAATTAATATTTGATTATTCATACCTAACCAGTCACCAACATCATTTTGGCTCAATTTGAAAAGAAAGTTGGTAAGTGGCGTTTTGACTTTTTGCCAAAACGCAAAAAGTAATTTTTTTTTGGCCATAAATTGATTTGGGAGTTTGGTTATAAGTAAAAAAAAAAATTACAAAATTACCCTCCATAGATGGAAAATAAAAGGGTAAAATTGTGTAATTTTTCAATTGATTAGGGATATTTTGGTCATTTCATTATGATTTGACATTATATACAAATATTAATGAAAAAAAGTCAAAAGTCACTTTTTATCAACTTTCTAAATCATTTGTCTAAAAAAACCAAAACCCCAAAATAAGCTCTTGTCCGGTTAGCCCACGTTGGTGACGGATCCCATTAATCACCAAACCAGTACAATAAAGCCTGTCACCCAAACAAATGTGGATCACAAAAAAATCCATAGTGATCCATATAGAGATTGCTCATCATCTCTCCACAGGTAAAGCCATTTGAGAGAGATAGAGATGGGTGGCGGTGGTGGAGCTAAGGAGGAGATGGCGGTGGTGGAGAGCAGAGAGTGGTATTTATCTTCCTATGTAATAAAAAAATACTAAAACTAAAAACTACGAATTAACAATTCAAAATCAAAAAGTGATTTGCAATTAATATTTGATTATTCATACCTAACCTGTCACCAACATCATCTTGTCCGGTTAGCCCACGTTGGTGACGGACCCCATTAATCACCAAACCAGTATGATAAAACCTGTCAACCAAACAAATGTGGTTCACAAAAAATCCATAGTGATCCATATAGAGGTTGCTCATCATCTCTCCACAGGTCAAGCCATTTGAGAGAGATAGAGATGGGTGGTGGTGGTGGAGCTAAGGAGGAGATGGCGGTGGTGGAGAGCAGAGAGTGGTATTTATCTTCCTATGTACCAGAAGGTGTTCCAACGTCTGATCATATCAAACTCCGTACAGTAAGCTTATCAGTAGACGTTGATTCAATCCCTGATCAACATGTGGCGATTCAGCTCCTGTGGATCTCTATAGATCCATATATACGGTCCAGAATGACCGGTCATGACGATGGGCTATATTTTCCCCAGTTTAACCTCAATCAGGTTTGCATAATGGTTTGGGTGTACTAAAAAAATACATTATTTATTTATTTATTTATTTATTTTTTTTCATAACACTTCTTTATTTTTTTTACACATCTTTTCATAAAAATTAAAAGGTTACTTATTTAGATCGTTCCAAATAAACCAACGCAGGTAATAACTGAATTTGGGATAGGGAGGGTAATTCGATCCAAGGACAGTAATTTCACTGAGGGTGATATTGTAATTAACCCTTTTTCTCCGGTTGCCGAGTATTGTGTGATGCCATCTGCTTTCCTTCGAAAGGCTGATCCAACGGCTGGGATTGCGCTGCCAGATTATCTTGGTTCTCTTGGTAATGCTATTTTGTTATTCAACAATGATTCATCCCCCTTTTTCCCCACCCCCTTTGACCCCCTCTCTCTCTCATTGGTTACTTTTTCTTTTTTTTCCTGCTCCTCCAATCACCACCCGCCACGTAGCAAAGGGGGTGAGGGGTGACCCCCAAAAGGGGGTCCCAAGCATTATTCTTTGTTATTATGTGAATTACTACATTGTACATTGCAAATTACTAATTTACTATTTTGTGTCAATACCATATGATTGATATGATATTTTGTGCATGTAACGTGTATAATATATAGGAGTGCCTGGGTTTACTGCATGGGTGGGAATAGGGGTTCTTGGGAACCCTAGGCCAGGATCAAATGTGTTTATATCTGCGGCAGCCGGAGGTGTCGGAATTTTCGCCGGACAGTTGGCAAAGCTTAAAGGGTGTCGAGTCATCGGAAGCACTGGATCAGATGAAAAGGTATATTTAGCCATAATTTAAATGATATATTTTTTTTAATTGTTATTCCATATATGATTGTTTAAGTTAGTAAATTTGACTCTTGGCAAAACTTCAGAAGATAAATGTAAAAAATAAATTAAAAAAAAATAAAAATCTTGCCCAACAAAGGTTTTAAAATAAATGAAAAAATATACCAAAATAACAACATAATGAATCCAAGACAGTTGCAAGATTCTAATATCAAGAGAGGAATGGCAAAATATCCCGATCCGTCAGGTTCCAACTCTCTCCAACTCTAATGGGATGAGTTTAGATATGGTTGAATAAGGCAAGGTTAGATTTGAGAAACCTTTGAACAATTCAATTAGGTTTGGATGGAGGGTGGAGAAGAGTATTTTTTTATCCGAACCCTACCCAATTTGCAAATATAATAATAAATGAATTTTAATATTAATATGTGTATAATGCATAATATATTATTCAATTTTTATAGAATATATAATATCTATCAATGATATTGAGTTTCTATCGTGTTATATATACAAAATAATTTTAATATATGTACAATATATAATATATTTTTTTTTAATTATAAATATCATTTTCTAATTTTAATTATTGAGTTTTAATATTATTATTATTAAATTTTTTATTGTATTACAAATAATGTTTAATATGCAAATTTAATTTTTATAAAATTGGTATCATTAAAAAGAGCGAAATTATACTTTTAAAACGAGTATAATATTAAATATATTTAACAAAAAATTAAATTTTAAATATTTATTAATGAATAAAATTATTCACTTTTTGATGATAATATTTTGGAGTGAAATCTTTAGAGAGAAAAATGAAAATTTGTGGTTGGAGTTTGAGTGAATAATGAGATACTCTATATTCACTTTCTGAATAAAAAAATCTATTTTCATCTCCTAATTGAAATGTTGGGTTGGAGATACTCTCACGCGAGCAAGGAGCTCACTTAGGCTATGTTTATTTTGTTGCTTGTGTGGTCGGATTGGAATACCATGGTTGTGGGTCTCACTCACAGCATGTTTGGTAGTGAAATAATAGGGCAAATTGATAGTCCAAAGGGCTTAATAATTCCCCTCAATAAGGGGATTAACTTAGCTGAGTTTTGGGTGGAATTAAGAAAATAGTGAGAGAATTAAATCTATTTAATATAAAAAAAAAATACCAAATACACCTGTTTAATAATCTCATCACTAACTGTCTCTCATATTATTATTAAAACAAATATACTTTTAATTAATCTCTTCACTAACAATCCTCATATTAATAATTTCTTCACTAACTATTATCTAATTGACAATCTTTTCCAATCTAATTTGTCAAATAAACGTGACCTTAATGTCAAATTATTTATTTATTTATTTATTATTTATTATTTTATTTTATTTTATTTTTTAGGCAACCGCC